AAGACTTTACAGTACAAATAAATTAAATGTAAAGACAGTATGAATAACAAAACAATAGAAATAAGGAAAATTCTGAACATATTTAATATAAACGTTTAATACTTAATATCATTTTAAATTTTTTCAAAATTTTAGGATTTTAATATAAGAACAAGTGAAACGTGTATTCTGCAATACCTTGTACTATCTGCAATTTAATCCAGTAATACCTTTACTATTTACTATTGGAAAGGGAAGGTTACTATATCTTTTCCTATATGAATTTTATGTATGCAAATGAAAACTGAACATCAAAAAACGATTATTAGAATTTTATCTAATGTACACACAATCAAAATGTTACTTAATAAAGAATTTGTTACATGAAATAGAATGGTATATAAATTGTGAATCATTTTTCTATAGCTGTTCAATAAATTTATATCTATCAAAAAATATTATTGTAATAAAATTAAAGCATAATATTTTAATACAAAGTATCTATATAAAAATTTTTAAAATAGCATAAATTAAAAAAACGCATGTTATACAATTTATTTGGTAAGAAAAATGCATTATTTCTAATATGGCTGAATAATTATACAGCCAAAAATTGCATGGAAAACCCCAGTGCACATAAAAAAACGTGACAGCGTATAAACCCACCTTCTCATCAAGACACTCTACCAAGTCAGTGACATACCCACGCAACTCTTGGTAATATCTGAAGCGCTGTGCAAGCTGCGGTGCACGAATTTCGCCATCATCCAGTTCTTTCATAGTTTGTCCTAACTCTTGCTCTAAACGATCCTGATCTAACTGATGTCGCCGATGTACTTCTTTTAAACTGTCCAATCTACAAATTATATTACTCACTCTAATTTTATAAAAACAAAATATATTCCAAAATCTAAAAATTCCAACACTATGTTATATACTTTAGATTAAAATTTTAACATAGTATACCACCTTGAACGCATTTTATTCACAACTTCTTGAGGAGTAATTGGTACTATTTTTGTTGGATCAGGTGGTTGAATTGCTGGAGGAGGTGGTGGAGCTGGCATCATCACCATTTCTAAAGATATTCCACTTCCCATCATTTGATTTACATTCATACCCATTGAATATTGTTGCTGCATCATAGAATCTTGTTGTGCTGCTGCAATCTAAATATTTTTTTTATTTTATGTGTATTTATTTATACTAAAAAATTATTTTTTGACAACAAATCATAATGCACGTAAATTAATTACCATATCTAAATAAATATTTAATTAAGAAATAAATGTTACCTGTGCACCAGTTACACCTTTTCTAATTTGTTGAGCTTCCCACTCCTCTTCTTCATTCTCATGTTCACTTTCATCATCAGAAACTAAAATAATATATACAATATAATTATTTGTGTAATGAATTATGAATAACCATACACCGACACTAACGTTTTAATGGAACTTGTGAAGCAAGGAATGCTTCTCTTCTTTTTTCTTTATCACGTGCTTCAGTGTTAACAGTCATATCTATTCGATCTTGTGAATCATCATCATCGCTTCTATCGTGATCTTCTTCTCTAATAAGCCTTGACTTGCCTTTATCATCGCTGAAAGTATCAATATATTTATTAGATATTTTGCAACATAAAATAAATGTCGGATAACAATTAACTAAACTATAACTTATATTACAATATTGATTGTGTTACAAAAATCATTACCTTTGCTCTTCTATAGGAATATAATCAGTTCCTAACTCTCTTGCCTTTTGTCTGCATTTCCTAGCTGCATGGATCATTGCAGCATCAGGTATGCAACCACCTACAGACACAAAATAATATTCATTATACTTTAAAAATATTTCATATTTATGCAAACACTAATAATATATGTAAGTGTTATTATTGATAAGTAATGTATCATGTACACAAAAGATAATTAAACAAAAATATACTAAAAATATACAGGAACAAAAATGGATGAACATTATTTACAACAGAAAAAATATTACATACTTTCAAGAAGAATTTTCATTGTATCAGCTTTATCTGTATTTCGTCTAAATTTGTGGTTACGTGGTTCATCCTCTTCTTCATCAGATGTATAATCATCCTTTCCAGCTGCCAGTGCAGCCCGTCCATTTAAGATTAGGGGTCCTGTATTCTTTATTTTAACCTAATAATAAAAAGTTTATACGTAATAAAATTCTCAATAAAAAATAATGTTAATAATCTGATTAATTAATTAGTAGTTATGATTAAAAGTTTAATTAGCATAACACTACATTGAAATAAATGGTATATATCAGAGTAATATACATATTGTACGTATTTTTGTGCCCAATAAAAATGAAAGGTTGCTGAATATTACTATACACATATGCAAATTTATCATAGAAGAATAAACCTTTCTGTAATATATTCATATTTTAATAGTTGTGTATATTTAGTACATTTAAAATTTGTTTAATTTGCATTATATGTATGTATGTATGTATATATATACATATAGATACACATATTCATACATATATATACATATCTACTTTACATTAATAAAATCACATTTCACTGGATATATCAAAATACTTTTACATTCAAAAACAATACAGCTTATAAAATTTAATTTAATCAAAATAATTGTAAATATGAATAAATATTTTTATCATATCTTCTGATTATGTTAAATATGAAATATAATGTGGAAATGAAATCTTAATTTGAGAGTAATAAATGATTTATATCGAAGAAATTCTAATAATAATAAACATCATAGAGATAGCTTACTACTAGATCATCTGTCTTTATTTCTAAATCTTTTTCCTGTTTAATGGACATGTTTGCTTGCTCAGAGTCCACTTGCATTTTCTCTTCACCTTTCTTTTTTCTCCTTTCGTGATCAAGCTGTTTCATCAATTTTTTGCTCCTGGATGATTTCTTCACTTTAAAGACTTCTCCATCATCCGCTGTAAAGTAGTAAACTATTAGATTTGACTAATTAAAATGTTTGAAATCTGTTCAAAAGATTTTGTAATTGTGATACTACTACTCTATTCAACTTTATTATTATAATTCAATTCTTTCATTTACGCTTCATATATTAAGAACTATAAATTATGCTTTGTATTTTATGCACACAAGTTAAAATATTAGCTTAATATTTGATAGAAATTCATTACCAAAATGCATTAATTTTATTAATTCCATTTTATTTTATTATATTCCCAATGTTAAGTATTCTAATCAAATTCTTAGCTATTATAATTTATTCACTTTTTTTATAATTTTAGCATCACATAAAAATGTTTTAATTAAATGTATTATAAACTGTAAAGTTTTAAAACATATTTTTATTTTACAATAAATGTCTATATGTATACATATGCGTGTGTATACATTCAAAGAACATTACCTTCTTCCAGCTCCTCTCCAAAACTGAGGAGCGTCTGCTTTGGCTTATCCTTCTTCTTTGCTTTAGTCTTTACAGGTTGGGTGTCCTCCACTTCCATCCTGTTTTCATTATCTTCGTCATCGTCGTTGAAAGGCCGACGACGGATGTTTCTCTTCGGCTTATTAAATAATGACATTGTCCTTAACATCAACCAGTCCGTTTAGATGATTCACACATATACTACCCCCAGGTTAACTTCTTAAATTATTAAAGCTAAAAAATAATTCGAAATTTCATAGCACATAAACGAGTATAATAAAAATATTCGTAAAACGTGCATTCGCGTCTTCATATAATATATCTTAAACTCGTAAATACGCGACGTTAAGCAGAAAACGCGACACCTTTCTGAAATTGTAATATGGATTATCCGTTGAATATAAATTGTTGTAGAATCGACTTGAAGTGAAGTTTCCAAAATTTGTGCACATGAATCTAATGCATCTCACTGTTTAAGTTGCTGATTGGCTTATTTTAATACACTTGCGATATGCGTTGTACTAAACGTATATGTGACGTCCGTACTCCGCGACTCATGCGAACCAACCATGAGGTCCTTACTTTATGATTCTCATGCGAATCCACCCTCCCTAGTTCTAATGCACTTACCCATGTTCATAACGAACTAAATGACATAATTTTGTACATAATCATAATTTTACTTTATATTTAAATATAACTCATACCCACTGTAATATAGGATAAGGACCTTAGAATACTGTTAGATTGTAATTTGTATGTAAAGTGACTGACATAGTACTTGCGCACGCCGCTGCACGCAAAAAACCCCGGAAGCATTAAAAAAATTCAAATGTTATTCTCTTGTTCACTAATCAATCTTCAATTATTTTTCTGTTATGCCAATATCTACACACGTTTTCCACATAGCACGCGGTTATTTGAGTTCTGATTCTCAGATTTTCCACACGCTTCGGCATCTGTTGGTATTCGTATTCTAATCGTTTGAAATTCAAGTTTTCACGAGCTCTGCTCTCTAGTATCAGTGGAGACAACAGTTACTGTAACAGATAAATGCACTAGAAATATTACAAGCTTGTGAATCGAATAATTATTTTATATGAATAAGCACTAATTATCTAATACCTTTTTAATATGATGCAAGTATATTTTATTCATTAAGTTGTGGTTGTACTAAAAGCACTAACATTATTAATATTTATATATTTATATAATAATACA